GACAGCCAGTGACTGTTAAGCCACCGTTGATACATTGCTTAAACCATCTGTGATTGGTAAACAGAGAAAACCTGCTTTAGTGAATACAGCAGAATTCACTCAACTTTTGCATTCTTGTAGTGCTGAGCAAGACCTGATTCAATCTTGTGAAACTCAGTTTTAGATAAATGGAATTGGCTTATATGATTCCAGAGAGCCTCAATAGCACGCGCTAATGCCAAATCTTTTAGTAAGAGTTAAAAACTCCACACACATACTGCATATACTTCAACTAGATATTTTCAGTAAAATCATTAAATAAAGAGTAAGCAGAAAATGCATGTATTTGAGCCAGTGTTCAGGGAGATTATGCTTTTAGATGTTTGACAATGAAAGCATAAAATGTGTTACGTTATTTAATGGTGCAGGCATCTAACTTGAAGTAAAAAAATACAATAATTTATGCTAACAAGATATTTGTAACCAGTTCTTTGTCGTTGTGTTTTGCACTGCATTGCTCTGTTCATTAACTTGCCTTTCGTCACCTCAACTGCTGCAAAAGCTGTTTTAGCAAACACAATTACTGAGGATTGTTAAGCACCTCCAGGAGCCTCAGTAGCTTGGGGTCAACTACAATAAAAATAACAAAAGAAGGAAATAATGATGCTTTGTAAAACGCTTGTGGCTCTTTCTCTCGTCCAGGGGTCATTCGATGTTTCCTTCGGCACTCTTGGCCACTGTGCCTGATTCAGATGAGTGATTATGCTATAGATTTCCACACACCCTGCCTAGTTGGCTGACTACATTCTACAGTGTGCATAGAGACCTCTGAGGCTGTCTTCCAGCTGGAGCCCTGTCTTCACATAACACTGTTTCTGCTGTCTCTGAAGATAGTTGTGATCGTCAGGTAGCACCGAGTGTCCTGACCAAATTTCCCATTGGCCTTTACCAATCAAGGCCACTTAATAATTCCTATCTCTGAACTGGCTTCATCACTCTGTCTCCTCCCCACTGAGAGCTGGTGTGTGGTGAGTGCACTGGTGCACTATGGCTGTCGTCGCATCATCCAGGTGGGCCTGCACACTGGTGGTGGTGGAGGGGCGTTCCCATTACCTCAGATCAGTTCAGTTTATTTGTCACATGCACCAAGTGCAATGAAATGCTTATTTGCATGTAGGCTCCAATACAAAGACGTTAAGGAGACACCAAAAACATAAACACAGAACAGCAGCAGCAACAACGGGTTTAATAACATACAACTTGAAAAAAAAACCCATCAGTGTGAGCCAGTGGTAGGGGTAGAGTTCAGTAATCTGACAGCTTGTCTATCTGTTAAACACTTTGAGTGCAGTGTCCAGCAAAGCCATAAATATATAACTAATAAAAAGTATTATTATTATTATTATTATTATTATTATTATTATTATTATTATTATTATTATTATTATTATTATTATTATTATTATTATTATTATTATTATTATTATTGTTGTTGTTGTTGTTGTTGTTGTTGTTGTTGTTATTTCTGCTCTGTGTATCCTGCAGTGCACCCAGTACCATCTTTTCTCTCATTGTGCTCTGCCTTGTGCAGCTTCTGTGTTTTAGTTTCTTCTCAGATGTAAGCAGCAGAACAGCATTAATGGACCATCCAAGGCATGTTGTCAGTATGTGCTACTCAGAGGTTTTGTCTTTAACCTGCCTGGTGAAAACAGAAGTTTTGTACAGCAATTTTTTTTTTTTTTTACGGAACCAGTAGTAAAAATATCCAAAGTCTAAAGTTAAAGGTTAGTAAAAGGTTCAAGTTGAAAGAAAAGGTTCTGCTGCATTTGAATGATTTTTTTGTATGCACTTCATGTATTACTGTTTATTTTGTAACTCACACTGGAGAAGGACATCTTCTAAGCGCATACATCAAAATAATCATAAAGCTGACAATTGCAGATAAAAAAGGATTCCTTTCCTGTGTTACTCTCATAAAACTGTTACACCCTGCAAAGCAGTGCACATTCAGTGTTCATTTAAAACTGGGAATAAAAGGTATTTCTTTACCCAAAGGTTTGTGGGTGTATGGAACAACCAACGTAACCACATTGTTGAATCCAATATCCTGTTTCTTCAAGAAACAGCTGGGTGAGATAGTTCAATTTCCTTCTAACTATCAAACAGACTGAATGGGCTGAATGACCACGTCTCGTTTGTGACCTAATGTTGTTATGGTTTTTACTGCGTTATCCATATTGCCGCCCAAAGGAAAATGTTCTCTAAGCTGACTGTGGGTCCAAAAACCTTTATTTTCGGAAGTTAACCAGCCAAAAATGTTATACTTTTTCATAGCCTGTTTAAGAAAATAAATAGTAAAAGTTCATAAAAGGGTCTGCAGTTATTCTATACTTGTTTTTTGTTCTCCTTTCTTCTTCCTCTCTGCTGTAAAGAAGCTGTACATTGCACACATTTCGCTGTCAAAACGTGATCCAAAATTATGATCTTTTGTCCACGCCCCTTTTTTGTTTTTTTCAACACTATTCTCATTTTTAAGTCAACGGCATTTTAACAACCCATGCTAGCGGTCAATTGTATTGATGCTAAGTTTTAAAAAGAATTTGATTTAAAAAGAAATTTTACAAATGGGAGTTGGTGATACGGCCCACTTAGTATTCTATAAGGAACTGACCTTAGGATTTCATCCACCCACTTCTGGAAAGAAGTCAGGGCATCGGCTTCAACAACGTGCCTGGGCCGCTTGTTCCACACTTCCACAACCCTTTGTGTAAAGGTTCCTCCTTTGTGTTCTTGGTTTCTGGGATAAAATGCATATGAAATGAATTTTATAGCACAATCAGCCCAAGTCTCTTTATTCTAGCGTGTCTACGGCCTTCCATGAGTCTGTGTTTCCATACAGTTTCTGCTTGGTAGTCGAAAGCCAGACATTTTCTCATGGAATGCTGTGCATGTGAAGGGTTTTTGCTTGTTTACACAAGGGTCAAAATCCCCATATTGCTCTCATATACTGTCTGTATTTTTTTTTTCAACTACAGTTATTTTTCAGAAAGACAGATTCATTTTTACTTTTCCATATGAGAATCATATTCCCTTTACTTACAGGCCTTACAGTACTTCAGGTGCTTTCGTGACAGACCTGCTAGCTTCAACTTTGGCCCATTTGGCTAATGTTCATAAAACTGGCAAATTCCAGATATCTGGGAACAGTCAATGCCATTTGTTTCCTTTGGCTGAAATATGAAAAAAAAAATTGAAAATAATCCCCTACACAGAATGAACAGGAGTCAGCCACTGCAGCAGAGAGTTGCTGGCAAAGACACGGAAATAAAAGGTTAAAAGCATTTGTGTCTGCACTGAGAAAGTAATTTGCTAACTATTTTTGAGCAGCTTCAGACGTTAAAAGGACATCGGTCTATTTTCCTGTGAAATCCAATGGTAAATGTCTGCTGGAGGTGACAACTGCATTAAATCGCGTCGATGAAAATTAAAACCGTGAAATAAGAAAACACAACAATTAGTTTCGCTTTACCCTTCCCTTGAAAAACAAACCATCAAGAATCGCTGCTAGCAATGTGATTGACTGCTTGTGCTGCTCAGGAAATTGATATGAGACTTTTTTTTAACACCTTGGCACAATGAGGGAGAACAGGAAGGGACCCCCACCACAAGAGTCTGTCCAGCTTATCCCCCAAGCCAGCAGGATCAGTGCCAGGCCCTGCATCATTCTCCTGCAATACAGGAAGCACCGATATTCTTGGGGATCCCCTCAGTAGAGATCCCCAATCACATCTGTTGCAGCAGTGCCAAAGACAGTCACCCTTGCAACTTTGACCAAACCTGATTGCAGGGTCTCAGCCCTGTGTGTTCAAACACATCATGTCATGTGTTTGACAAGCTCTTCCCTCGACAGAACTGTGTTGATCTTGGAGTTCGGCTGTCTGTACTGGCCAGGAACCAAGTTGTAAGCAGGGCTGAGACTCAACATCGCACGCGGGAGACGTCCAGCCATCTTTGAAGGACCAGTCCCTCTTTTACTGCGTTGCACTTGTGCCTCTCTACTCTTGCTTGACCTGCATCTCTCTCCTGGCCCTCTCTCATCCAGCAGGGGTTGCTCTTGTAGTGCCTTCATCCCTGAAACAGCAGTCACAGCACATCGGTACAACGGACAGTGGAAACATGTTAAAAAGGCAGTGTCTGACAGAAGGTTTTGAAGTACTGAATTCAGAGAAAAAAAGGTCTGTGCTGTTGCTTATGACAAATTGTTAATGAAAAACAAGTATTCCTTTTGCAAAATCAACCACTTGGGAATTTGTTCAACGAAGTATGTGTTGCCAGAATTTTAATTATCTCTAGGAGTGCTAGCTAGGATTTAACATTTTCGATGATTCGAGATGTGTCTTCCACATATTTATCAACACCTGAAAAAAAATCCAAAAGGCAAGGTGTTGGGAGCAATCACTGGAACAAGGTGTGACTACCTGTAGTTTCAACTTTCTAAAGTGTTATTCTGTTGTCTACTTTATAAACGCACACACACATATACATACTTTCCATATAATTTTCCCTTTATAGGTTATTTTGATTCTTGTGGACTTCTCAAGTACAAAAAGCTTTCAAAGCTTACCAATGTTAAATGAAAAGAAGTAATGGCTAGATTCTGACATCTGGTGGTGATAAGTAAAAGTTCCCAAGCCAAGAGCTCAACCATCCATTTTCTAACCTCTGCGTCACCTTTGAGCTGGCCAACAGGGACGAACAGAAATGCAGCAGAAAAATTAATTTAAGTTTAGTATTTTTTGTTTTTCTTTACACTTCTTTAGTTCTGTATATTTCATTTACTTAATTTCATATATTAACACAATTTACAGTATGTCTGTATTATATTGCATTTATACTGTAATCTCTTCTAGGTAAAAATCAAAATGATTATTTGTTTCAGTAAAGCTTTTTCTGTTTTTGAGTGATTCGTTTTTGGGTGCAGTCAGCTAAGAACAAATACAGTAAATATGCGGAGCAAAGTATTTATGATTATAGAATAGTTTAATACATTAGCTTATCATTATAGTAGTTGAGCACGGCATGTTGATACAGTTCTGAACTTTGTGCTGTTGTGAAAATGTAAACAATGTTTAAGAATTATGATCAAGCAATTTAAAAAACTGTAGCTATTTTTTTCATGTGACACCCTGAGTAACATGCATCCTTCACTCATTAATTTAGAAAATGCTTCTTACTCAGGCAGAAAAAGAAGAATTTCACAATTTCCATCTTGCGTGTGACATTTTAAAATGCCCAGACATGGTAACACCATGTTTTACCACTGCAGTCTCATCCTGAATGTTTCTCTTCTAGAACTTGTCCAGCCCATGTGCTGGCAATCAGACCATTGAAGGCACCTTCATCTCTGTGAGGTTGGCCAATTGGAAAGATGAAGATATACCCTCCACCAGTCCATGGTCTGATCATAAACAGACCAGGTGATGTGTCTTACTGGGCTGTGAGGACTAAAACACTGCTCTCTTAAAAGACCATTTCTGCCTGTCTCAGGATTCCCAGAGCACATGTATAGTCCACAAGACTACTGGAAGAATGTTCAGTGGACAGATGAGACAGAAGTAAAACATTCTGACCATAATGAGACCTTCAAGCATGGAGATGAGAATGTCATGATTTGGGGTCAGTGTGCTGCTTCAGGACTGGGAGAATTTGCATGAAGGAAACAGTGTTGTATCACCACATTCTGGAGGAGAATGTCAGGCCATCTTTTCATCAGCTGAAGCTGAGCTGAAAGTGAGTCATGCAACAAGACAATGACCCTAAACATACAAACAGAGCTACAAGACAATGGATGAGGAAGAAGAAATGTATCGTTTTCAAAGTCCCTTTTAAATGTTATGGTGGGACCTGAAACAAGCTGGTCATGCAACTAAACACATGACTTGAAATGGTTCTGTAAGGAAGAAAGGGCTAAAATTCGTAAATGTCAATGCAAGCGACTGTTAAACAGTTATAAGAAACATTTAGGTGAAGTCATTGCTGTTGATGGATGTGTCCCTCATTACTGAATGTAAGGATTCACACAAGAACATTTACTGCTGGACAATGTTGTTACCTAAATAATAAAAAAATATCTAATGAATTTGTGTTGTACATTTACTAAGGCTATTTTCCATCTTGTATTTGGATTTTCATGAAGATCTAATTATGTTTATGTTTATGTTTAGATCTGATTAGGATTAAATCTAATGTAGAATGAATTCCTTTATGTATACATAATGAGCTCGGTTTCCAGGGATGGGCATTAAATACAGCACCTTCATCGGCCAATACTAAAAACAACCTGAATAAGGAAATATAAACAAAAGAGAGATGTCATTTATCATGTTACTGTATGTATTTAAGACCAGGCACGATGGGACATGGATCAAATGTGAGATTAACCTCATGAAATCTCCTGAAAGACAGATCTTTTAAGTACAAAAAAGAAAAAGAGGTCAATGTACAAAAGCCTAGGAAATCAGCTGTAGACTGACTAAGCTTATTCACATTTAAACACAAAAAAACATTAAAAATCTTCAAAACAAAGTGCACATAACATGGCAAGAATGCAGATCCATAAGTAATGAAAATAAAACATAGTGCTTTTTGTGCAACACTTCTACACATGTACTGTATATATCATTCACTAATGAGATTAACTGGCTACAGCAATCATTCTGGACTTGTTTCCCTATATTTCAGCTTACAGTTATAAACCTCTTTTTAAGGTATAAGAAGGCAAAGTAGCTCATTCCTCCCAGTATTCCCACAAGCAAAGTGGTGCCCAGGAGTGATGGGGCCCTTTTCCTTGCCACGCGGAAAGCTGTGGGCAACACGGCGGATATCAGTATGTTGTTGACGCGCCCCAGAACCCTGCGGAAGGTCGGTCTCTGCAGGACGCGCTCGTAGTACGTTTCCAGGTTCTGCCGGTTCCCGTTGCCCCAGTACCGCCGCGAGAGGCCGAGGAATTTCAGCCGGTGGAGCGTCACGGCGAGAGACACGTCGGCCACGCTGAAGAACTCGCCGCAGAGCCAGGCCTGCTTCCCCTCTTCTTTCCAGCGAAGGCAGAAAAACGAAAAAGCAGTCAACGAAGGAAACCGCGTTCGTCACGGATTTATGGGATCGGGGGGGGAGGGGGGGAGCAGGGACATTTGGAAAATCTGATCATCTGAAAATCTGATAATCGACGTGTAACTTGTTACTTGAATGTGAAACAATCACTCGATACCGTTATTGTTCCACACAAAGCCGTTTGTTTATGTTTCTTTCAAGAAGCAAATACTGTCATCTGACATTGTCTCGGCACGTTTGGAGCTGATTAAAAGGTCTAAGGAAAACCCTGTCTCGTTGCGCAAGATGACTAGCATTGCTGTGTTGGATGCTAGGACAGCTGATCTGGTATTCAGTAAGAACCAGAAAGTTCTAACCATAAACGTGATTTATGATGCATGTTGCTGATACAGCCATGCCATTCTCTTGAATAAGATATTCTAAATCACAGTTACAGAGGACGATTTCTATACCATAGACCAGTGGTTCTCAAACTTTTTGGACCAAGTACCACCCCTAATCCAACCAAAGCATCCAAGTACCACCTACAAGTCATCATCTCATAGGAACCCCAGAAATTCTCAATGACCAACATGAGCGCGCATGCACACACAGTCACACATACATATAATAAATATTATAATAATAAACTTTATTAGATATAGCGCCTTTAATGGTGGCTTCTCAAAGTATTTTACATAAAAACAACATTAACAACAACTAATAAAAAAGCACCATTTCAACGAGAGGGGTGAACCTGTTTAGTTGAGCAAAGCAGATGTGAATTAATTTTTCGAGCCTTGATACAATTCACAACAGAGTCTAACAGATTTTAAATCGTCAGGCATTTTCTTGATGGCAAAGCTCTCGCTGTGAATGTTGCAATGTGTCCATTAATTTCTGGAGCAACCTCTTTAATTCGTGCAACTACACCGCTACGTCGGTTTGTCATTGCTCTAGCACCATCTGTACAAACTCCGACACATTTGATCCAGTTGATGCCATTCTCTTCGAAAAATTAATTCATCCAGTGAAATATGTGCTCTCCTGTAGTTCCTGTTGGTAGCGGCTTACATAACAGAAAGTCCTCATGGGACGTACC